TTAGGACATCGTATCATCCTGGAGCTTTACACATGTTTCATGAGCAGATTGTATCAATGGCCAAAAGAATCTCATCCTGGGTCAAAGTGATCAGGTCACGGTGTGTGGAGGCTGCCGCGGTGCCTTCAGGGGCCGTAGGAAACCTCCCCCTCCCCCCCGCCGGCACTGCAGCGGCTGCCTCTGCGTCGGCTTCCTCCTCCGGCGTGACGAGGCGGATTTCTCCGCGTCGTGCTGCTTCGTTTGCGCCTCACGTCACCGCCGAAGGTCCATCGATCACCGGGTTCATCGATCGGAGGCGTGGCCTTTCCCGTGGCGATGGGCGGTTCATGAACGCGACAACGACGTCACCCTCCCGCGCGGCGGCAGTGGGAGCTTTTGATTCGCTGTCATCTCCGCGTGCGTTGTGAGTGATTAGCGTTTCTGTTTGTTTTTATAAATCAGTGAGTGACTTCCTGTCTCCGCCCGGCATGGATCAGCCAATCAGCAAGCAGCTCTCCACCTCGTCAGCTGCCCTCCACTCGCCAGAGAGAGGTGAGAGGCGCTGCATATTACGTCACTGCTATTATACACGCGCATGTAAAAGAGAAACGGATATTGATGATGATTCCTAGTTTATCAACGGACTTTGTTATTGTCTAATACATCATTTAGAAACTGTAATAATATACAAACTGACACTATTATTATTTCGTTGATCGTAGTAGTAAATTATTTTCATTTGTTAATAAAGTCCTCCTTTCTTGGAATAAAGTGTAATTTCTTTCTCCGTCTTATTATTATTTTTTCTTACTAATATTTTTCTGTTTTTGAAAACGGGGTCAAATTAATGAATTGCCTTATTAATTTGGATTATATGAAATTCAATTTCACTCAGGTTGATGATTTATGTGTGGCTACATTTCACTCAACAATAGAGGGATTAACGGACTAAACTGCTTCTGACCATGATACTTATGTTTTTTTAAGATGGGTACATATAATACTATAAGTACTACAATTTATACTACAAGTGGTTAAACACACAAATCTCAGGATTCAAGGAAAAGGAAGAAAGTTTCTCTTCTCTTTTATTTCTTGATTGATTTGCTCACATCGTAGTAATTGGCGCTTTCTGACTTGTTGTATCCACTTCACTGTGTGTATACATGTGTTTGTGTGTCTGCGTGTGTGGTGTTTCGTGACATGTCAGTGTCTTTTGTGTCCCATCGAACAGCTTCCCCCAGCAACCACAGACCAAACAGAAGTTCCTCCAACCGCAGGAGCATCGCCGGACTCCCCGAGGACACGTCCAGAGGCAAAGCGTCCCCGGTCAGACGCTCACACGCACGCACACACGCACGCACACACACACACGCACACACACACGCAAAACAAATGTTCAGCTGTAACAGAAAAAAATAAGCCTCTCTGCAAATGTATTTTGCAGAGTTTAATGCTCTTTAAATGTGCACGATTGTGGCGCATTATAAACTTATTTACCTGCATTTGGCAATAACGTGTTTATTTCATCATGAGCTTTAAGCCACCAGCTTATCTTTTATTTCCCAGTCTAGTCGGTACTTTTAAACTTTTTAATACTGCGTCTCTTCGTCACTCCTCAGTCCTTATTTGGTCACCTGTTCGCTGGTTGCAAAAAAAAAGATGACAACGGACAAAGTGCGTCACTAGAGGCGTCAAAACGTCACTCCACAAACCGACGAGCGACGCCATGACGTCCACTTCTTATACACAGTTGTGTCACTATAAACACACAACAAGTGATTTATAAAACATCACAGTTTCATTCTTCTTCATAACGTGTTTTTCTGGTGTTGTATTTTGTGACCTGAAGGGGGAAAACCTAAACGCACCGGCCCGCAGTAGTTCCTTCAGGGGCAACAGCAAGGGCCCTGCTACACCCAAACGGTACAACGCACACACACACACACACACACACACACACACACACACACAGGCCTCTCCGGGCTCCAGTCCCGCTGACCTCACCTGGTTCTCCTGGTTTTAGGGTGAGGTCAAACAGGAGTCGGGCCCAGTCTCCCTGCTCCCCCGGCCAGTACCCCCCCCTCCCCTCTGCGGCACAGGGCCACCACCCCCGGCTCCGACGACAGGGGTCACCCCGAGGTCAAAGGTCACAGCACCCTGGAGAGGAAATGCACCAAATCTGAGACCTCTGAGAAAAAGATTCCCAAATCCACCAGCAAAGAACTGAATGCAGGTAAAAGTGTTTTTACACTTTAGTCACATCGTACAGACTCATTTTAGATTGATAAAGTAGTTTCCGTAGCAACGGGACATTTTGTTGTCAGAAGAGACACTACACAGTCTACACCGGAGAAGAACACAGAGAGTCCCAAAGCCGCGCTGTGATTGGTGCTCCTTGTCTCCTCCCCACAGAGTCCCCGGGGACGCCGACGGGACGGAGCGTCGGCGGGACGACGGATGCCGAGGAGGCGTCCCGCCTGCTGGCCGAGCGGCGCCGCCTGGCTCGCATACAGAAGGAGCAGGAGGAGAGACAGCGGCTGGAGGAGGAGAGGTGGGCGGAGCTATGCTTTTATTTTGATGGGCCGCCATAAGTCCCTCCTTCTTCACCTCGATGATGCTTCTTTGTCTTCTGTGATTCGTAAATCTTTGTATTTGTGATCGTCAGAAGAAGCAGCCAAACATTTGTTTGTGTTCATGGAGAAGATAATAATACTTTTTCTTCCTCCCATAATAATACTTTTTCTTCCTCCCATCTATATATATATACATATATATATAGATATATATATATATATATATATCTATATATATATATAGATATATATATATATATATATATATATATATATATATATATATATATATATTTACCTGTTAATATGTTTCTTTATGGATCATTCCTGTTGGTCTGAGGACAATGACATGATTTTACTGTTGCTGTATACTTTTTAATAATATAATATTTACCAGTTAAAATATATTTGAAATACATTTTAATATTCTATTTGATTATTTTTCCTGCGGTTACATCATACTTTGTCCATAATGACGCCCGCAGGCTGAGGGCCGTGGAGGAGCAGAGGAGGCAGCAGGAGGCGAGGGAGCGGCAGGAGAGGGCGGCGCTGCAGGCCGAGGAGGAGAAGGCGAGGCGGGAGGAGGAGAGGAGGAACCGGGAGGACGAGGAGAGGCGGCAGAAGGAGCAGAGGTGGAAGGACATGCAGGACCAGCTGGACAGAGAGGTGCATTTGTTTATCTGTTGTTTTGTCCACTCGTAAACAGTAAACAGACAGAAAAGAAAGAAGTTAAGCTGTTTGCGAGCACCAGACTCCATTGACAGAAAGGTCATTTCATCTCTCACAAAAACAAAGCGTTGCTGCTGTGAGGTAGAATCACTGCTTTTTTCAATGGAGTCTGGTGGCTTTGGGGAAAAAAAAACGCCTTTTCTTTCAGTTTCCCTTTTGGACAAAATGTTTTTAGAACCTAAAAGAATAAATGTCAGTTGAAAGGAACAATTATTTAGAATATTCTGACCCTCTGCATTGCTGCCAGACAGAACTTATGAAGCTGTTCTCCAGTGAGTGGGTGGTGTTTGTGTTTCAGAGGGAAGGTGGTGTAGCTGTGGCTCAGTGGGTGGTGTTTCTGTTTCAGAGGGAAGGTGGTGTAGCTGTGGCTCGGCGGGTGGTGTTTGTGTTTCAGAGGGAAGGTGGTGTGGCTGTGGCTCAGCGGGTGGTGTTTGTGTTTCAGATGGAAGGTGGTGTAGCTGTGGCTCAGTGGGTGGTGTTTCTGTTTCAGAGGGAAGGTGGTGTAGCTGTGTCTCAGTGGGTGGTGTTTGTGTTTCAGAGGGAAGGTGGTGTGGCTGTGGCTCAGCGGGTGGTGTTTGTGTTTCAGAGGGAAGGTGGTGTAGCTGTGGCTCAGCGGGTGGTGTTTGTGTTTCAGAGGGAAGGTGGTGTGGCTCAGTGGGTGGTGTTTGTGTTTCAGAGGGAAGGTGGTGTAGCTGTGGCTCAGCGGGTGGTGTTTGTGTTTCAGAGGGAAGGTGGTGTGGCTCAGTGGGTGGTGTTTGTGTTTCAGAGGGAAGGTGGTGTAGCTGTGGCTCAGTGGGTGGTGTTTGTGTTTCAGAGGGAGGGTGGTGTGGCTCAGTGGGTGGTGTTTGTGTTTCAGAGGGAAGGTGGTGTAGCTGTGGCTCAGCGGGTGGTGTTTGTGTTTCAGAGGGAAGGTGGTGTGGCTCAGTGGGTGGTGTTTGTGTTTCAGAGGGAAGGTGGTGTGGCTGTGGCTCAGTGGGTGGTGTTTGTGTTTCAGAGGGAAGGTGGTGTAGCTGTGGCTCAGCGGGTGGTGTTTGTGTTTCAGAGGGAAGGTGGTGTGGCTCAGTGGGTGGTGTTTGTGTTTCAGAGGGAAGGTGGTGTAGCTGTGGCTCAGTGGGTGGTGTTTGTGTTTCAGAGGGAAGGTGGTGTAGCTGTGGCTCAGTAGGTGGTGTTTGTGTTTCAGAGGGAAGGTGGTGTAGCTGTGGCTCAGCGGGTGGTGTTTGTGTTTCAGAGGGAAGGTGGTGTGGCTGTGGCTCAGTGGGTGGTGTTTGTGTTTCAGAGGGAAGGTGGTGTAGCTGTGGCTCAGTGGGTGGTGTTTGTGTTTCAGAGGGAAGGTGGTGTAGCTGTGGCTCAGCGGGTGGTGTTTGTGTTTCAGAGGGAAGGTGGTGTGGCTGTGGCTCAGTGGGTGGTGTTTGTGTTTCAGAGGGAAGGTGGTGTAGCTGTGGCTCAGCAGGTGGTGTTTGTGTTTCAGAGGGAAGGTGGTGTAGCTGTGGCTCAGTGGGTGGTGTTTGTGTTTCTGAGGGAAGGTGGTGTAGCTGTGGCTCAGCGGGTGGTGTTTGTGTTTCAGAGGGAAGGTGGTGTGGCTCAGTGGGTGGTGTTTGTGTTTCAGAGGGAAGGTGGTGTAGCTGTGGCTCAGTGGGTGGTGTTTGTGTTTCAGAGGGAAGGTGGTGTAGCTGTGGCTCAGCAGGTGGTGTTTGTGTTTCAGAGGGAAGGTGGTGTAGCTGTTGCTCAGTGGGTGGTGTTTGTGTTTCAGAGGGAAGGTGGTGTAGCTGTGGCTCAGCGGGTGGTGTTTGTGTTTCAGAGGGAAGGTGGTGTGGCTCAGTGGGTGGTGTTTGTGTTTCAGAGGGAAGGTGGTGTAGCTGTGGCTCAGCGGGTGGTGTTTGTGTTTCAGAGGGAAGGTGGTGTAGCTGTGGCTCAGTGGGTGGTGTTTGTGTTTCAGAGGGAAGGTGGTGTGGCTGTGGCTCAGTGGGTGGTGTTTGTGTTTCAGAGGGAAGGTGGTGTGGCTCAGTGGGTGGTGTTTGTGTTTCAGAGGGAAGGTGGTGTAGCTGTGGCTCAGTGGGTGGTGTTTGTGTTTCAGAGGGAAGGTGGTGTGGCTGTGGCTCGGTGGGTGGTGTTTGTGTTTCAGAGGGAAGGTGGTGTGGCTGTGGCTCAGCAGGTGGTGTTTGTGTTTCAGAGGGAAGGTGGTGTAGCTGTGGCTCAGTGGGTGGTGTTTGTGTTTCAGAGGGAAGGTGGTGTGGCTGTGGCTCGGTGGGTGGTGTTTGTGTTTCAGAGGGAAGGTGGTGTGGCTGTGGCTCAGCAGGTGGTGTTTGTGTTTCAGAGGGAAGGTGGTGTAGCTGTGGCTCAGTGGGTGGTGTTTGTGTTTCAGAGGGAAGGTGGTGTAGCTGTGGCTCAGCGGGTGGTGTTTGTGTTTCAGAGGGAAGGTGGTGTAGCTGTGGCTCAGTGGGTGGTGTTTGTGTTTCAGAGGGAAGGTGGTGTAGCTGTGGCTCAGCGGGTGGTGTTTGTGTTTCAGAGGGAGGAGGCCGTGCTGAGAGCCCAGAGGGAGGCGGAGAGGAAGAGGAAGGAGAGGGAGCTGCTGCACATCCAGGAGGAGCAGGAGAGGCTGCAGAGGAAGAAGGTACCGAGGTCTTCTTCACCTGAGGGCTTATGGGGGTTGATTGGACCTCTTGACCTTTGACCTCCTTTTTTCTGCACAGAGGATCGAGGAGATCATGAAGAGGACGAGGAAGAGCGAAGCGGAGCCGCTGTCTGGTGCTGCAGGTGAAGCTTCTCTTACTGACGTAATGTGAAGGCTTCGGAACATCTTCAGGGAGTATAAAACATAATTATTTAAGGACAGTTTGGTCACTAAAATGAGTTTATGGATGGATAATTATACAGATCCATTTAAAGCGTGTGTATAAGGACTATTTAAAAATGTGATCACTGCAAGAAATTTCAGTATTAAAAAAAATAAAACAAGGGAAGTTTACATTTATTTCTACTATTGTTTGGGATATATTGTATATTTCATGCTGTGTTAATGTATCATGTTTTGCTATATTACTCTACTACATTTCACCTAACATTTTCATATGTAAAATATTTAATTAATATCCAGAACACATTTATTTAAAATTATATTCATGTACAATCACAGATATAAAACTAGTATTATTGTAAAATATTACTCTAATCCAATGTTAATTATATGAACATTGAAGGAGATAAAATAAATAACTTGTATTATTACATTATATAATAAATTACAGACAAACACAATAATTAAGGTCATCGTATCAGTCATTGCTTTTTACTTATTGCTCTTATATTTCTATTCTAATTTTGATTTTAAACGCCGTCTTCATCATCATTAATATCCGCTGTGTGTCTGCAGCCGCGGCCCTGTTGGAGGACGACGCCCCCCCCACTCCGGCCGAGGCCCCCGTCATCCTGCTGGGACCCCTGGAGAATAAGAGCTTTGTGGACGAGCTGTCTGACGGAGTACAGTCCATGGACGTCAGGTGAGCGTCTTTGTTTGTCTCCGCTTTTGTCCCTGGTGGTGTCTCAGCTGACGCTGTATACCTTTGTGGTAGAGACCTGTCAATCATTGTGAAGTCCCGCCTTAAACCTCCCGTACTGTGCTGTGAGTTTGAGACCATAAACTCATGTTTACAACGTTTACTGAGGGAATAAATCAACAGAGAAGTAGAGTCATTTCCTCATAGACGTCTATGGGAGCAGAGGAGTCGCCCCCTGCTGGTCACTACAGAGAAGTAGAGTCATTTCCTCATAGACGTCTATGGGAGCAGAGGAGTCGCCCCCTGCTGGTCACTACAGAGAAGTAGAGTCATTTCCTCATAGACGTCTATGGGAGCAGAGGAGTCGCCCCCTGCTGGTCACTACAGAGAAGTAGAGTCATTTCCTCATAGACGTCTATGGGAGCAGAGGAGTCGCCCCCTGCTGGTCACTACAGAGAAGTAGAGTCATTTCCTCATAGACGTCTATGGGAGCAGAGGAGTCGCCCCCTGCTGGTCACTACAGAGAAGTAGAGTCATTTCCTCATAGACGTCTATGGGAGCAGAGGAGTCGCCCCCTGCTGGTCACTACAGAGAAGTAGAGTCATTTCCTCATAGACGTCTATGGGAGCAGAGGAGTCGCCCCCTGCTGGTCACTACAGAGAAGTAGAGTTATTTCCTCATAGACGTCTATGGGAGCAGAGGAGTCGCCCCCTGCTGGTCACTACAGAGAAGTAGAGTCATTTCCTCATAGACGTCTATGGGAGCAGAGGAGTCGCCCCCTGCTGGTCACTACAGAGAAGTAGAGTTATTTCCTCATAGACGTCTATGGCAGCAGAGGAGTCGCCCCCTGCTGGTCACTACACAGAATGCAGCTTTAGGACTCTTCAGTATTGGTCGGACTCGGCAGAACTGAAGGTTGTTTGTTTGGTTTCAGAGACGTAAGAAGGATAAAAACGTGGAGCTCCTCCATCTCACATCTCCTCATGAAGAAACCAATGAAACGACTCTGAATTAATAAGACGTCCTGTCTCTGTCACCATTGTGTCTTTAAGTTCTCCATCTGTCTCCATCAGTCCAGTGTCCAGGGACGAGCAGCCCAGCGCCCACGAGTTCTCCCCGCTCGCCGAGGGGCCTGAAGGCTGCACCTTGGAGCACCTCATGGACCTGGAGGCCCACGGCCGGGGGGAGACCCCCGCCTACCCCAAACTGCAGGCCGGCAGCGGGGTGGGGGACCTCAACAAGAACCTTCTGATCCAAGCCTACAGCGTGGCCTCCGAGTCCTCCCAGCTCATCCACAGCGTCGGGCCGAGCAAGCTGGACGTCCAGTAGGCAAGTAGGGACCCTCTGCTGTAAACGTGTATACACATATATATATATATATATATATATTTATAGTATTTGTTATGTTATGTTATGCTGGTGATTCACAGCGCTTGTATCTTATCATATTGTCCCTTACTGTATTGTATTTTTTAGTTTCAGTGAGTTGTAAATACAAACTGAAGCTCGATCGGTTCTCTACTCTGTCGCCTGCAGCACCACGATCCACATTTCACCCGCGGAACCGACGCAGAGCGACAGCTTCACGTCCGCATCAGCAGACGACACTAACAGCTCGGCTTGTGGCCACATGGAGGCAGACGGACGACACCCCCCCCCCCTCCTCCCCCCCGGCTCAGATTAGACAAAAGTACAGAGGAGGAAGTCGTTGTAGTAGAGTTCAGGTTCAGCGTCGACTTAGTAAATTGTGCTTGTGCTTATTTAGTCTTTTTTCTTCGTTTGATCTCTGCGTCATTCTGTGGAAATATACTAAAATCCTTGAGTATATATTCACATTCTACAGTATCTCCCTACATTGTAGTCTGATGCAAGTTACCAGATCATTTAAATATTCGTGTTAAAAAGATAGAAATGTTTCAGCGTCACGTGAAGGAGCTTCTCCTCTTCCTCCTTCTTCCTCTTCCTGGCGAAGCTGGATTCGTCTGTCTGCAGCGCCTCAACCTATAACTCAAAGTATCTCATCCCTGCTTTTTGTCGGCCTCTGTAAATAGCCCTGTGCGGGTGGAGGAGTCTGCAGCAGCTCATGTTTGGGGGGCAGAATAAAGAGCGACGTAGCGTCCGGTTGGTGCTCGTAGCGTGTTCTCCTGACAAAAACAAACTAAAAAGCTGCTGTAGATTTACCGTCGCCCCCGACGACCATCAACGACCTACGACCCCCCCCATGAGCTCTCATCTGGTGGCTTGGCTTTGTGTTGCTTCCTGCCGGTGGGGGTAAATGTTGACAGGGTGTGTTGTGTATCTGACTGTAACCACGCTAGCTGCAGCTTCATCGTGTGTGTCACTGCTCCCAAACCCCCCCCACGCCCCCCACAGCTGAAACATACCCCTCTGACGGGCAACAGGAAGAACAAATACCCCACCGCGGGGCAAAAGCATGAAAGACGAGTCTCTCGCTCCTTTCTGCTGGAGAATATTTCATTCCTTCAGTGTTCATAATCAGCCACAAAGAAAACTACATTTCTGACTATTTAAGGATCATTTTATTTTATTGGGGTTTACTTTTAATGTTCTAAATCATTTTTTATTGTTTGTTTGATTTTTGCTGGGAAATTGTCAGACGTCGGCCTTTAAAAGCCGTCGGATGGCATCGTGGTCCCACGTGTGTCGTCCGGACTATTACGCTCCTTTAGTGCTTTTAACATTTAATTCATGTCACTGTCCTAAACATTTGGATAAGCCTTAAAAATAGAAACACACACAGAATATACTTCTTCATTTGAATAAACCTTCCAGATGACGCAACCTCGGCGTCCTCAGTCACGGGGACAATGTTCCCTCATCACCGCGGCAACCTTCGGCACATTCTTCTGTGCTTTTCCCCCCAGCTCGCTATTCCTCCACATTGGGCTGAAGCTCATCATTCCCCGGGTGCTTGTATATGAAGTTAAAAATAAAGGACACAATGTTTATGCGATATTATAGAACTCTGTGTCACTGCAGCTTGGTGGAATATATCATTGTAGATGTGGTGCATGGATAACTGCTGAAGAAGAACAATAAACTTCATCCAGCCGTCGCTGAGACGGATTAATAAGAAATGGCAAACTGACACCTTGGGTTCGAGGGGACGAGAAAAGAGTCAAAAATGTATAAGATGTTTCATCTTTGACATTCATAATGAGGGACTTATGAAATGACAAATGTAGTGTAGAGCTTAATGCAGCCACTTTTATTTATCATTATATCTCACTGTGTGTCGACTTTATGCTGCACTGAAATTAAAACTGAACTGCAAAAATCATTGTTTGTCTTTTTACTTCCTTCACGTTATTGATCTGAAGATATTTGGAGGGTCATTGTATTTGCGTACGAGTAGGAACAGAATGCAACTGTTTATTTAGCCTTTCAGCTTTCAAAGTAAAAATAGGTGGCAATTATTGACTAGCGATCAAAATAAAGTAATAGAACTTCTAATGTTATACATTTTAGAACCTTACACATGCGAAGTGTTATCTGAACACAACTGCAGGTTCATTCAATGTTTGAATTTAAATGTGCCACGACACGCAAACTACTAAAAGCTAATGTGTACTTTAATTACACCACAAATGCACCATTTCATTATGAACCACAGAAGAAGATGTGGTCGTTAATTCTTAGCCAATAGCTGGGCAGCAAATGATTTTCAAAATATTTTCAAAATAATTTGAGTACCGTAATTTGTAATTGATACTGAACAGTTACAACATAGGAGATTATGTCAATATAGTATAATTATTTATTTTGACATTTCTTCCCATTTTATAGCGTGATGTTTTGCGATTTGTGCGCGCCGGACTGTGGATTTACACAATTTAAGTTTTATTCTGAAAACACCATGCCGGAAGCAACGAACCCAGTTTTGTGATGATCACCTACAGCCATGTTTCTTGGGGACTTCAATTGAAAAACAACCCATTGGGCTAACGTGGGGTTAAACACAACGTTAACGTTAGTTACAAATAGCGGATTTATTCCAACCGTTGTATCGCTTGTTTTATTTGTGTGTCCTTGCTTTAGCTTTACGTTAGCCGCGGTGACTGGCGCGTAACGACGACCGAGGTAAAGTCACTAACTCACGTTAGCTAACTTACGGAACGTTAGCTGCCAGTTGACAACACATAGCTAGTTTTATAACGTTGATCAGCCACTAGGTGGTATGTCACGGCCAGTAGCTAGCAATAGCTTGTGGCTAACGTTATCCTGTGTGCTACGAAGCTAAAGGCTAAGTTGAGGAAGGAGATGTTTGTCAAAATCATCATTTATCTTTTAATTTAACGATTCACGGCAATTTTAATCAAGTTAAGATTCATTATTACTGCGACCAAAAGTAACATCTGATTATGAACATGCTAATGTGAAGCTAGAAACAGCTAAATCCTACTAAGATCAAGGTGTCAGTTTTAAGGATGTTCGCTTCATGGTTCAAATGTCGTAACAAGATGTTAATATCTTAAATTGAGGGAAACCGGGTTTGTTTTCGTGTGAACGGGTTTCCATGTTTGATGCATTCGGCTACATGAAAACTTCTATGTAAGATAAAAGCTCACTCAGAAAATATTTGTTGAATTGTGAACCGAAGTTGACTTACTTTGGTTAATTCGTAGGTTCTATTGTTTCCTAAATCACGTTTCAGCTGCTGAGTAAATAAATCCACAAGCTTGTAACAAGAAGCTCTTCGGTTGTTCGTCTCTTCTGGCAGAAACTAGACTGTCTAATTCTTTTTCAGACAAATGCTTGTTGTGGCAGCAGCTTTAATCTTCAGAGAAAAAACTGTCCTTTTCTTTAAAGGTCGTCAAATGTCAAGACCACGGTCCGGCTCTCCACGATACAGGTACCGACCGCCATCCTCTCCTATCCATACGCCAGGCCCCGAGTTCTCCCAAGGGATAAATATTCATCCTTTACTGAGAAAAAAGGCTCAAACTAATGCTATGCAGTGAACAGAATGATCCAATTTAAATATGTAATTAAAATAGCACTGTTCAGTATAGTTGCATATAATTACGTGTACCTTTTGTGTACTTGAATGAATGATGTGATGTGTGAATGTCGATTTTATGTCTGAGGTTGTGACGTTTATTCATTTACCTTTTTCAGGAGGTTCCCGTGGGACGAACCAAACTTTAATCCTCCAAAAGTCGGCGCAGAACTGGACGGGAGTCCGCCGGAGAGGAGCCGCCGCTCCCGAGAAGAGCCCGAAGAGCACTGGACCTCCTTCAGGGACGACATGCACCACGAAGCCCAGAGGAGGAGCCCTCATTTCCCAGAGGACCGGCAGTTTGGGCATCAGCGCCTCCCGAGCCCGGAAGAGTTTTACCGCCGCAGGCTGTCGCCACATCACAGTGTGGCGAGCTTCGATGAAGAGCGAAGGCATTCCCCTCTGCAGGATGGAGGAGGAGGAGGAGAGAGGCGCAGAGGAGGCTTCAGAGAGCTCTTCCAGAGATATGAAAACAGGGCCACGTTGTCTCAGTCGCCGCTGAGGCTGGCGAGGGAGACGCTGCCGGCAACGCCGCGCTGTCACTCGGACCACCAGCAGAGGGAGACGGGGGGCGGCTGGAGGAAAGGGGAGCAGGGCAGAGGTCAAGGGAGGTTCAGGGACCTCAGTCCCGTTGTGAGGATGGACGACCAACGAGGGGGAGCAGGTAGGGAGAGAGGAAGGAGGCCCGCACAGGGTCCGAACAGAGACCGGCGAAGAGAGGATTCCCATCAGGAGAGGAACCCCCCCTTTAAAAGGCAAAGGGGGGAAATGGACGACGCCGCTCACCTTGGGTAAATTTCAAGCAGCACAGTCGAAAAAGGAAACCAAGAATAACGAGGATTCTCATCTTTCTGATTTCCCCCATAGCGCAAAACTCATCTTATTTCCTTCCTGGTCTAACTAGTCTGCATGGCTTAAACTCTTCCTGCTTTAACACCTTCTGATTCTGTAGAAAAGCTGCATGTGTTAAAAACAGTTGACGGTTACCGTAGCGATAAGCGCGTAGCTCAGGTGTTTGATGTGTGACCATAGAAAGCAGATGAATAACGGCTGAACCGTGTCGCCTCCTCTTATGCTGCCACAGGTACAGGGATGAGGAGGACTTTGGGGAACCGCGTTACTCGGTGGACCCCCCCAGGGACGAGCTCGGAGGCGGCGCCCGGCGCTCGGCGCCGCTCGTCGTGGAGCATGATCACGGCGTGGGGGGGGGGCTGCGGTGGGAACAGTTTGGCGATCGCAGAGACGTCGACCCCGACTTTGACCCCGACTTCAACCGGCAGAGGAGCCCCCGCCCGGCGGGCGTCTCCCAGGAGCGTTTCAGGGCGCAGGGCGATCGGGGGGACGCGAGAGGACGCCATTTCCAAGACAGCTGGAGGGACTCTGACTACCACGAAGCCCGGAGGGACCCCGCGCCGCAGGGAGGACCCAACCCCCCGAGGCACGGCAGCAGAGACGCGCCCGCGAACCACCGGGGGAGGGGCGCACCTCACCCGCCGAGGGGGCAATCGGGAAGAAGCGTAGCGCCCAGGATTCAGCCCCGCCCACGGCCGCCCTCACAAGGATACCAAGAGCCTCCCCAGGAGGAGCCGAGGCCGGGGGGGCGACCTTTCAGGGGCGACGTCTACGAGGATCCCCGGGACGTGGAGCCCGACTGGGCGGAGGAAGACGGGCCGCAGCAGTGGGAACCGCGCCGGCCCGGAGGCCTCCAGCGGCCCCCCCAGAGGAGCCACTTGGACCCTAAAATGCCCCGGCAGAGGGAGCGAGGGTGGGCCGACCAGAGCGGCGACCACGTGGCCGTGGTAACCGAGGAAACGCTCACCATCAAAGTGGACATGAGCCGACCTGCGAAGAACCACAGGTAGAGTATTATTTAAAAAGGGGTTCTCGGGGGGGGGGGTCCACACTTCTCTCATTGAAAGCTGCAGGAGGAAGAAGAAAGGAAGTGAGGACGTCGTCTCACGGAGCTGCATCGGCTTCTCACTCCACGAGCTCGGTGCTGCTACAAGGAGACGGCAAAGCTCGGCGAGGAGACGAAGGAGTCTGTGTTCTAAAACGAGCCGGACATGAACAAGAACTTTAACCTTAACGCTCGACTTTCCAACGCACAAAGCAAGAAAACCACTTGTGAAGGCCGGCAGGAAGCTGCTAGCTGGGAGAAGACGGCGCACGAGAGGACCGGATTCAGAGGACGACCGCAGGAGCAAGGCTTTAAACCCACAGCGACGTGCGTGGGGATGAGCTCGGACCAGCCGCTCTCCGTGGAGATGTCGAGGAGACCTGAACCCGGCTTTGGGCAGAAGGATGTCTGAAGGGACGTTGCTGTCAAGTCCTCCACACGTCCTGGACCGTCTTTGATGTAGAGTTTCTGGACTGAAAATGGAAGGACGACATCATTCTGTAACGTCCCGATCGGCGCCGCACACGTGGGACGTGGAGATTGTGATTCTCCGACTGGTCTGAAGAAAGCATCAGGACGTTTTGGGATCAGGCACATCAGAGAGAAGAAATGCTCAGGAAGGCTTGAGCGCCGTGAATCAGGAGACGTGAAGGAAGAGGAGAGTGTGGAGGTAAAGAGAACCTTCATCCAGTGACAGTAAAGGGTTTGGATTTGTGGCTTTAAGAAGATCGAACGCCTCCACTGGACACGCGAGGAAACCGACCCGCAGGGGGAGGAGTCACAGCAGGTCCGCGGTGTGAAGGCCCAGATGAACCTCTCAGGAGAGCAGCTTCCTCACAGACGGACAAAAGGCAGAAGACAAATCCCCACAGCTGAAGGAAAGGAACCAAAGAGGAACTGAAGAGGAACCAAAGAGGAGCCGACAGATCGATCTCTGGCCTGGTTGTTTGAGCGTAAACATCAGCGCTGTTGAATAAGACGTAAAAGCCACCGTGCCGTTTCAACAAGAACATCATGAGGGGATCGCAGCGCCTTCACTGCTCGACACGAGGAGCCTTCAAATGTGAGGAAGGAGGAACGATGCTGATGGAGGAGAACTTGCTGCATCATCAAGTCTGAAAGATGAAACATGAACGTCAACATCGTCTCTCTGGAGGAAGATGAATATTATCATTAATCATTTGAGCCGGCAACAGGATGCTGTCGACATGTACGTCATCCAAACGAGGGAATGAAAGGATTGTCTCCTGAAGAGGAGGAGAATGAGGAGGAAGAGGAGGAGAATGAGGAAGAGGAGGAGGAAGAAGAGGAGGAGAATGAGGAAGAAGAGGAGGAGAATGAGGAAGAAGAGGAGGAGAATGAGGAGGAGGAAGAAGAGAAAGAATCAGGAAGAAGAGAATGAGGTGGAGGAGGAGGAGAATGAGGAAGAAGAGGAGGAGAATGAGGTGGAGGAGGAGCCACGTCAGACGAGGGAAGAAGTGTGAACTTTCACCCCGTGTTCATCTCCTCTCTGAAAGAGACGAGCCGTCTTTCACAAACACCCACAGGAAGGAGAGTGAATTCCTCCGTTTAACCGACACGTAGTAACAGAAGCACCTCAGTTCTTTGCCCCAAAATACATCATTTCTTGGTAAAAACAAATAAAAGGCAAAGATCTCCATCGCGTCGCTCTTTACCTGCAGCGGCTCTTTGTTGTTTTGGATATTAGTCTTTCATGAAGTGGTCTGCAGCCGCCGCGTGTAGATTTAGTCATTTTAAACGTTGTCAGCTGTGGAACTCGGCACAGGTGAGTCCTCAGGTAAGGTGCAGATGTTGTCTTTATTCACCCAGATGTGATGAGTATTGCAGCTAAAATATACAAGTATGACGTTAGAACGCTAATATTCTGCCAGCTGCAGTAATGAGGAGGAATCAGGCCGTTTTGGATGTAAACCTCCCCTCCCCTCCCCCCCCCCCCGCAGCTCGCTGTGCACCTCCTCCGACCGGCAGCTCTCACTGGACCTGGTCAACGTGGGACGCCAGCGTCTGGACTTCCTGCCCATGCTGGAGCACTCTGGGACGTACCGCGAGTCCACGTCCAGCACCGGCACCTTCGCCCAGGAGATCATCACGCTGGTGCACCAGGTCAAAGGTCAGCACGTTGTGGGGGGCGTGGTTTATCAAGCTACCAGTAGAGATCCCAGCTAGTAATTACCAACCTACCAGATTATTGGTTAAAGCGTTTTCCTCTCTGACCTCAGATCAGTACTTCAGAGACAACGGGCTCACCCTCAACCAGCGGTTCTCGGCGCCCCAGAAAGACGAGGGGTCGGAGGAGCTGACGCTGGACGAGCGGTTCAGCTCGAACCGGTAGGGACGCCGTCTCTGACCTCTGACCTACGCTTTTATTTGACTAACTTGACTGTTTTGACTGCAGCATTTTACTGTTAAAGTAACCGGCCTCGTTTCCTCTGCAGAGGCTTCAGCTTAAATCTGAACTCCCTGCTGGACGAGGACGAGCCTCTTTTCTCCAGACTGGAGCCGCTGCAGGTAAGAAGGCTCCGCCCACCCACCGGAGGCCGTCCGTGGCGAGCTGTCGTGTTCTGAACGTTAAAGACGCGTTGATGTTGTGGCAGCCGGTCCGAGGCCCCGGCGACCTGAGGCACGACCTCGAGAGGAGGAGACAGGAGAGGCTGGAGGGGGTCAAGGTCACCATATCAGGCAGCAGCATGTCACAGCGCCCCTTGGGGCCCAGCAGGTGAGGTCACACCCGCCATTGCTCCTCTACAAGAGTCTGCGGGGCGTTCACTGACCCGTGTAATGGGTGGGAAAACTGAACGCTGGCGTTAAACACGTAAAGTACAAACAATTGAATAAGCGGGCGTTAACTGGGTAAACGTTGCACATCGATTACCTCGTGAGTCTAAATGAACGTAAAGAAGTTTAACTCGTATTTCATCAGTCACAAATGTTTTAATTCATTCATTCAAGATCCTACATTTATATTCATAAAATACATTCAAGTGTTCAAGTTTTAAAGTGCTTCCTCCCCGTCAGCGAGTCGGGCTTCGACTACTGCGACCAGGACCAAGCATCTCCGATGGAGGACGGGGGCGTCTCCTTCTGGGCCGAGGAGCCGGGCCGGAGACGAGAAGGACACACGGTGAGCCTCGCAGACGCGTCATGTGACTCCCATATTGGGGGGGTGGGCGGGGTCTGCTGACTTTAACCCCTTTGCTCTCTGTCCTCAGGGGCCGAGGAGAGGAGCGCCCTACGCCCCCCAGCACAGGAACACTCAGCCCGGGAACCGGCTCGGACCGCTGAGGCGTCAGAACCACCGCAGCCACCCGCCAGGTACCGAGGATCGATACACGGGATCCGTCGGTAAAGAGTCACACCTGCTTCTAGTAAACCGACGTCTTTTAATATCCACATCGTGAGCTTCAAGTTGAGTCAATTGGTTGAATAATTCTTATTAAATTAAAGACGCAGCTTCTTTCCTGCTGAGGTCGCTTCATTTTGGAGAGTTTGAGCTCCTGATCACACCTGAGCTGCTCTAAATCTACCTGTCGGCCGTAACCTGGATTCCCCTCTGACCTCTGACCTCCTCCCCCCCTCGTAGGTCCCAGCTGGTGACCGGACAGACAAAGGAGCAGCTGATTAAAAGAGATCGTGCACCAAACTGAAGAAGGGCAGCACGCCGACCTATGACCTCTGACCTCTTCTGTCTCCATACGTTGTTGTTTTTCTGATGCTGAATAAATAAAATGTTTTGTCATTTTAGATTTTTGTGACGTGGTCTTTTTATTTAGGTTTAATTGAGATTTTTAGATCTTAGTTATAACAGCCGGGTGATTTTATTTGCCCTGTTTAAAGTAGATATTCTTTTCTTATGGGGACATTTTGTCCAATAAACAAAACTGTATGATGCAAGTAAATCAAAGAAATTCAACTTCAAATTAGTCATTTGTTTACAGTAAATAATTCATATTAACAATTCACTTTTGAAATTGTTTGCTATATCTGCACAAAGGAAATATAACTATGTATATACATTATCATTAAAAGAGTTTTTCCAAAGTATTTTTATTTCAAACCATTGAGTGAAAAACACATAAAAAAGACTCGTTCTTTCCGTCTCGGCTCATTTTAACGTTTCTGCTAAAACAACGGCGGCGTCCGTTTGACAGGAAACCACCGAGGTGAACAGTCCATGGTCGCTGTGGAACAAACGCGACGCTGTCATGGCGGCGTCGAAGGCACGCGGAGGTCAGAAGCTCAGCGGGATCAATAACGGGATCAATTTAACTTTTTCACGTCTATTTGTGTGAAGAAAAGAGTTCATTAAAAACATTTTTTCAAACTAACAAACATTTGTGTTTCTTAGTTAAATGTTCATACAAATAAAATACTTCACAAAAATCACATTTTAAGTTAAAGCTATCGTTATTATTCATACGTTGTAAAGTTCTGCTTCTGTTCATGAGCTTCAGGGAGTCAGGTGGGAGCCGCAGGGCAAAGGTCGGAACGCCACCTCCATGTTCTCCTCCATGATGATGTCATAGCGGCACATCAGAGGCCTGTGGGCGGGATCGATCAGCTGATTGACAGGAAACTAGGTCATGTGACCGCCATCAGAAACATTTCTCTATTTTGTCCTTTTATAACTTGTTCTTTATAATTATTATTATCTGCTAGTGAGTTAGAGAAGAACTTATTAATTAAAACAATCAATGAGCGCTGTGAGATCAATGGTCATCATTCATTTGGGAAACAGCACCGACCTCTCGGGACGCTCCAGCGGCGTGAAGCGGATCCTCAGCAGTCTGATCTTGTACCGGGGCCCGATCACGTTGCCGGTATTGATCCGCATGGAGATCTTCTGGACCTGCGGCAGGTCCTCGTCGAACTGGGCCAGCAGCCGCGTGGACGTGTACTGCTCGAACCGCAGCCGCTTCCTGCGGGGAGGCACTTTAGAGGGGTTCTACTTCCTGTCAGTGTGGGTTTCTACTTCCTGTCAGTGTGGGGCTCTACTTCCTGTCAGTGTGGGTTTCTACTTCCTGTCAGTGTGGGGTTTCTACTTCCTGTCAGTGTGGGGCTCTACTTCCTGTCAGTGTGGGGATCTACTCCCTCTCCAGAGTGGGGCTCTACTTCCTGTCAGAGTGGGGCTCTACTTCCTCTCAGTGTGGGGATCTACTTCCTGTCAGTGTGGGGATCTACTTCCTCTCAGTGTGGGGCTCTACTTCCTCTCAGTGTGGGGCTCTACTTCCTGTCAGCGTGGGGCTCTACTTCCTGTCAGTGTGGGGCTCTACTTCCTGTTCAGAACTCACTGGTCTATTCGGACTTCGGTGAAGTTCCTGCCGCTGTGCAGCCGGATGTAGACGACCCCCCAGCGGAGGTACTGGTTCCAGGTCACCATGTCCACTCTGTAGTTCAGCTCTGCCACACACACACACACACACACACACACACACACACACACACACGTCATACATGTAGTAGAAGCCTCCAGCACCTCGGTGCGATCCCGCTGCGATGGACTCACTGCTGTAGGGCGGCGCCGCCGTGGTGCTGAAGAAGACTTTGGTCTGACCGAGTCGCAGCAGAGTCTCTCTCCAGGGGGTCAGGTCGTAGCCTGCAGGTGAGACACACACACACACACACACACACACACACACACACACACACACACACACACACACACACACACACACACAGGAGAGCAGATGTCAAGCTTGATTAGAGCTATTCTACACTACAGGTACTAGATGTTATTATTATTTCATAAATATACGAGCAAAGGTTCCGAAACAAAAATGATTAAATAAATATTACATTAAAATATGCCTGTTTAACAATAAAAATACAAATAGATGAAAGTGGAATGGGCGCTCACCCAGCAGGGGGCAGGACGCCGGCCGGAAGGTCTCGCACTGCAGGCAGCGGCCCTGCAGGAAGTCCGCGTAGGAGGCGCACGGGTACCCGGTGAGGCTGCAGCTCCGGTTCAGCGCGCACAGGTACAGGAACACGGAGCGCTGGTGGTCGCACACGAAGTACGACTTACCTGTAGGAGGCGAACGCCTGCTGTGAGTGCTCGTCCACGTGCGTGTGCGTGTGTGCGTGCGCGTGCGCGTGTGCATTGACCTGCAAAGATGGTCTTGGGACACCCCGGCTGGTCGGCCCCCCCGTTGGCGTAGAAGTCGATGTGTCCGTGAGCTCCTTGCAGCCCGAATGCTGCACGAGGGGAGACGCGCGGCGTGTGGGTCACGTGTCACACGTCACGTACAATACAGTGACACAAAACCGTGAGAACTATTTTCACAGTTCGTAACACACGCGTTACACATCAAAATATTCCCTGAGAGGGAACTAAAGGCGACGTGGTTCGTCCTGCAGGTCTCTGGAGAAGGTGGAGCAGCTCCACTCACAGTTCATGTCGGTGTGCAGGACGTCCACAAACGTGGCGTCCGAAGGGTCCAGACGCTCCTCCGCCGTGGCGCTGGTGAACATCGGGCCGGCCGGGTCCAGACCTGCAGGGACCAGGACGGAGGGTCAACCGGACCTCTTAAGTCCCTCGACCACAGAGCAGATCACCTCCAGCAGGTCATAGGTCACATGTTCCACCTTTCACCCTTAAACTTCCCTCTGCTGCTTTTCACCTTAATTACACCTTAAAACAATCAATCGTTTCTTAAAATATTTAGACATAAACTGTCATATTTTTTATTATGGTAATGTACTTATTTCCAACTCACTGAAGGAATGTTTCCCAAATGTCCTCCTGCTCCTCCTCCTCCCTTCCTCCTCCCTTCCTCCTCCTCCTCGTGCTCCTCCCTTCCTCCTCCTCCTCCACCTCCTCCCCCCTTCCTGCTCCTCTGTGTTCCCTCACCTGTGATCCGTCCGATCCTCCCGTCCAGGTTGGCTCCCACGTATCCGGCCAGGTGAGCTCCCAGGCTGACGCCGATGAGGTGCACGGCGCTCAGAGAGGCTCCTCCCTCCTGGGGGGAAATATTAAAAAGCCCTCCTTATAAATGCTTTAAGAACTAGAACATTATCTCCTTTAATGATGGAGCTGTAATAAATACCGTTTCCCTGTTTTTATATTACTGATCTTTATATACAAATACTATTTCTGTGTGACGGCAATTACAATGTAAGTTTTTAAATAGTTTTATATGCAGACTTGTAGACGTTTTATCCAGTAAGTGTATTATTTATTCTTTTAGCTACACGTGCATAATTACAGAGTTTCAATCCAGCAGTAAAACGGCGGCATGATTTCTGTCACCAAATCCGATATTCTCTCTTTTTGCTCTGTCTTTGGTCTCCTCCACCTCCTGATGGGAACATCTCTCTCCTCTGCATCTAAATGCTCCACCCGCCCACCGCCCGAACCAGGAGCTACGTGAGGCGGAGGCGCCTCACCTGCATGGTGGCGATGAAGCCGGTCAGGTTGTGCGCCGCCTCCCGGGTGTAGCTGACGGCGATGAAGTAGTTGAGGTTGGCCGCCCCCTTGTTCCAGTCCACCACGATGACGTTCATGTCCCGCTGCTCGAGCAGCAGGTGGACCAGGTGGTCTATCCAGATGGGGGGCGCCCCGGTGGGCCGGTAGCCGTGGACCACGAAGACGGTGGGGCGGGACAGGTTGAAGAGCGGCTGGGAGGCCGGCCGGTGGTGGTTGAGCTCGCGGCCGCAGTCGGGGTTGGAGCGCGTGTAGAGCAGCAGCCGCACGTACAGGCTGGTTCCCACCAAGCAGTGCGACAGGTCCAGGTCCGTGAAGTCGGCGCAGGACTCGCCGCTCTCCTCCAGACCTGAACGCACAAAAAGAGTCTTTATGGTCAGCGAGAGGACGATGAGAACGATGAGGACAATAAGGGACGATGAGGACGATGAGAACGATGAGGGCCGATGAAAACGAGGAGGGACGATGAGGACGATGAGAACGATGAGAAATGATGAGGGCGATGAGGACGATGAGGCCGATGAGGGCCGATGAGGACGATGAGAAAAAACGGGATGAAGGACGATGAGGACGATGAGAATGATGAGGGCCGATGAGGACGATGAGGGCGATGAGGACGATGAGAACGATGAGGACGATGAGTGAGAATGATGAGGGCGATGAGGACGATGAGACGATGAGAATGATGAGGCCGATGAGGACGATGAGAGGCCGATGAGGACGATAGGGACGATGAGAACGATGCGGGCCGATGAGGACGATAAGGGCGATGAGACGACTGAGGACGATAAGGGACGATTAGAACGATGAGGAACGATGAGGACGATGAGGGCCGATGAGGACGATGAGGGCCGATGAGGACGATAAGGAACGATGAGGGACGATGAGGACGATAAGGGACGATGAGAACGATGAGGGACGATGAGAACGAGGAGGGCCGATGAGGACAATAAGGGACGATGAGAACGAGGAGGGCCGATGAGGACGATGAGGGCCGATGAGGACGATAAGGAACGATGAGGGACGATGAGGACGATAAGGGACGATGAGAACAATGAGGGACGATGAGGACGATACGGGACGATGAGGACGATGGTAAGGCGGCTCCACATGAGCGGACGATGAGGGACGCTGAGGGACGATGAGGACGATAAGGGACGATGAGGACGATGGTAAGGCGGCTCCACATGAGCGGGCTGAGAGGACGATGAGGGACAATGAGGACGATGAGGGAAACGCTCATAAGTGAGTCGAGAATGGAAGGTTGAATAATGAAGATGTGACGGGTCACTGAAGCACCAACAGGACCAGGACTGATTTTAATGAAGACAGACAGATGTTTGTCTGATGTCAGAAGATGTCGCACACAGTGATGGTGGTTATTGATCATTTCTTACACAACGTATCTGCAGCGAGGGGGAAGAGGGAATAAAATCATCCAGACAAAATGAGCTCGCCGGCCGGATGCTCCTCTGAGCCGGTGAAGCTCTCCTCTGTGGATTAAACTCGGCTCGCATTGAGTCTCTATTTAAAGTGTCTCGTTTCCTGACCCATTAATCCACACGACCGGCGAAGCCGACATCCAGGACCACGTGTCCTTTGAATTGTGTTCAAGGACATTTAGACATCGAGTATTTCACCAGAAGATCGCTGCTAAAAGTACGTCCGTGTTTATTCCTACATGCTCTTGATGAGGTCCGTCAAACACGGGACCTTCACCCAGGAGACAAGAAGGTCAACGCTGTCTTCAGTACGTCAGTGGCTGAAACTCCTCCTCCTCCCCCTCCCCCCCCGGCCTCCACGATTACGACACACAAACACACGAAGGAGTTCGCCACCGTCAACAGGATCAGGCTGCTAGAAAAAATACAGCTCACCCCCCCTGAACACCAGAGGGTGGAAGTGGCCCCAATCCGGCCTCCAACACACACATTAGCACACTATGAATAGCTGTGTGTGTGTGTGTGTGTGTGAGACCTGGTGTGTTTTTACTTTCATACCAGCAGAATTTAACTTAAACATTTAAATGATCTGTTCCCTCAAACTGTTTCTGTCCCACTTTGTTTTGTTTACAGCTAAAGACCTGAAGTGTAAGTGGCGATACCACTTCTACTAGTATGTATACACATAAATATACTTATAAACACATATGTACATAGAGATGTGTGTGTGTATAAACAGCTCAGAGGAGTTGATGCTTTTCGGTTCTTACCTTTGCAGAGGCCGAGGAGAAGCAGCAGTAGCAGCGACATCCTGCTTCCACCACGGAGATGATGGAGGTGAGGACGGAGCGAGGAAAGGAGCTCTGAAGGAGGGAGGGAGGAGGGAGGGAGGAGAGGTGGCGTATAGAAGGATGCAGAGGAAACGAGGGGGAGTAAGCAAGGAAGCGTAAAGATGAAAAGTCCCAGGAGGAGGAGGAGGAGCGTTTGCAGAGGAGGTGCAGATGTGGAGAAATCCCTTCAGAAAACTTGCTTAAAACTTTGATGTGAAAGTCAAACACACATTATGTCCATAAAACAGCACAGAGGGAACGTGACCGTTTCCTTTTAGGTTCAGAACAACTCTTTCATGGCGTCAGTCTCAGAGAATTTATATAAAAATATTCTGCTAAATGAACTACGAATAAAAAGGGAGAGGAAGTTTAAAAATAGAGATTAAAAGTTAAAGCAGCGGATGATGAAAGGATAGTTTGTAGTTCTGCTCCTCTCTGATTACTGAGCTGACTCCACCATGTTGGGTATTATTAGCTCAGCTCACCGAGGCCGTCGTGTAATTTAACAGCCGCGGGTTGAACGTTAAATGAGCCTTCAGAATAAGAGCGCGGAGGCATCCTGCAGTCTGTTTCAGGATGCTCATGTCAGGCTTTTCTTTCAAATGTGACGGCAAAAAGGAAATGATGTGTTTTTTAAATGATTCAATCATTCACCAGCAGTATCTGTACCTCCCCCACACGCAAAAAACAATGTAGTGATTTGATATGTAACAAAACATATGTGGTTTTTATTGCAGATTACTTTCACAGCTGTTCCCCCCCCCCGATGCAAGATGTAATGCTAAGCTACGCTAACTGCATTGTAGCTTGGTAGTAACGGACAGGTGAGTGTGCTCTTAGTTGTCTTCGGTGTGGACGTGTCCCCTGCAGAGCCTTTTGCTTTTCTTCCTGAAATGCATCCAAAAGCTCGTCGTACTTTTTGCGTTTTTCAGGCCGGAAGTGAACGTGACTGACAGGTGAGCCGGCGGGTGAGAGGTCGCGTGAGGTCGCGATGTCCTGGCCAGGTAAGCAGCTTACGTTCGAAGGCGGAGGAGGAGATTATGGAACCTGCAGCATGTGGTCAGGATCACAGTGAAACCATCTAAAGCTGCACTTTGTGAATTAAAGATAAAGATGGTGATTAGTGAGATCATGTTCATGCTCCCCACAGGATGAATCCTAAAGAGATAATAACCAACAACTTGTTCTTAATGTTTCTAATTTTCCAAAAATAAAAATAACTAAAAAATAATATATAATTATATTTTTATTTTGAATGGAACACTTGTAAATATCTTTATCCTGACAATAATAATAATAATAATCAACCAGCATTTAATGTAACATGCAACCAAAATACTTTCCTCTAGTTTTAATCTTTTCAATCCTGGATATTATAAACACAAACTTTCCTTTAGAGGAAACTTCAAGATAAGAACAACATTAGTGATCGCCTCCACAAAAACCCCAAAGTGCGTCCTTCCATGTCAGCGGAACGCATCACGCACCGGAGACGTCATCACCAGCCTGTGACTGATTAGGAGAGTGTGTGTGTGTGTGTGTGAGTGTGAGTGTGACAAACGGTTAAAGCAAGTCTCTCTCTCTCTCTCTCTGTGTGTCTCTGTGTCTCTGTGTCTCTCTGTGTCTTGCACACATTGTACTTCCTGTGACTAACTGTGACCTCAGTGGTTTTCTTCTCTCCGTGTGCACTCGTCTTAATACCTCCACACCTGGACTCCTCTCTCTACATCTGGACTCCTCTCTCCACATCTGGACTCCTCTCTCCACATCTGGACTCCTCTCTCCACATCTCGACTCCTCTCTCCACACCTGGACTCCTCTCTCTACATCTGGACTCCTCTCTCCACATCTGGACTCCTCTCTCTACATCTGGACTCCTCTCTCCACACCTGGACTCCTCTCTCCACACCTGGACTCCTCTCTCCACACCTGGACTCCTCCGTGTTTGATCCCACAGGGAGTGGCCGGCTCTTCTTCTCTTGGGATGAAGCTGCACTGAGGTGCGTGTGCGTGTCTCCCCTCACCATGGCGACGGCTCTGCCGATGTGTTACCACGGCAGCATCAGCATGAAGCAGTGTGAGGACCTGCTGGGGGGGAAGAACAAGGACGGAGCGTACCTGATCCGGGACAGCGAGACCGTCCACGGGGCCATGTGCCTCTGTGTGTAGTAAGTACTGTTTACTCTTTACCGTGTGTACTGAGTACTCTTTACCGTGTGTACTGAGTACTCTTTACTGTATGTACTTTCTCGTTGTCCTTTTGTATCATGTCAATCTGCTGCTGAGATTCCCCCATTAAGATATTTTTAACCCCCCGGGTGAAATGTGAGCGTAAAAGTAGCGATGCAGTAATTCAAACACAGACGGTACAAACAATTACAATGAAATAGCAGAGCCGAACCTATTAAGTTAAATGGGGAATAGAAGTATGTACAGTGGGGCGGAATCGGTTTACAGTTCACTTAGTTAAATCCAGACAGTCGTGCAGCGTTATTCAGTCAAACGAGGACTTTGTGGCAGCGGAGCTGCATCACCCCGTTGGAGAAGGTGTCCCTGCAGCAGAGGGACAAGAAGGTCGGGTCGTCCAGCAGAAGTCGTCCTCCTCTCCACCACCTGCTCTGGATGCTCCTGTTTGCAGCCAAATGATGACAAATGATTAATGATTTGAAACATCTTGTGTGTGTTTGCAGTAAACAGAGGGTGGTGTATACGTACAGACTGCTGCAGACACACACTGGACACTACATGCTCATGGTAAACACATACACACACACAACATTCAGTTTGAGATGGTCAGGCTGTGATCTTCATCATCACACTGCTCCTCTGCTCCCGTGAGGACTGTGTCCTCACTCCACGCTCTTCTTCTCCCTTCAGACCGCAGGAAACGTCAAAGAGACATTTTTCAAGACTCTGGACGACCTGATCCACCACTTCAAGAGGAGGAACCAGGGCCTGGCCATGCACCTGCGCCACTCCGTCAAAAGGAAGACGGCCATGTTGATCACGCTCCCAAGAGCTCCCCGACCCCCGCGGCCCCAGACGCCCCCCGACGAGGAGGACAACGACTACGAGAGTACGTCCTACGCTGATCTCCGCGTCCTCCTCCCCTCAGCATCTCATGGGCCCCTTTTGACCTTTTCTTCATTTTTCTTCCAGATGTTCCCAACTCGGATTACGTGGAAGTCTTGCCTCCCTGAACGTCTCCCTCGCATTGATCTTCAGACACGTGGAGAGAAGAAGTCTCAACTCTCAATGTTCTCATGCTGGATTAACGTCGGAGGAGTGTAGGAGGACATTTGGACAAATGGACACACGATGAAGAAGAGGACTCTCTCTCTGTGCTTTCATGTCTGTTAATAGAAGCGGAACCGTGGGTCGGTGGTCCGGGCTGAAGGACCGTGGTCCCCTGAGGACGAACCCTAAACCCTCCTGTTGATGCTTTCACTTTTGAGCTTTTCATTTTCTGCTCCGGTACCTGAAACTCATGTCTTTGTGTAGTAGCCTACTGTAGAGCTAGCGTTAGCGTGCTGGCATGCTAAGCTAAGGTGGTGAACGGCATTAAACGATGTACACATGCTAACGTTAGCATCAGTGTCATCATGTGCCGGCCTTTTCCTCTCTGCTATTTCTGCTCGGTGTGTTTCCCGCATGTGACCTTCATTTTGTGTTCAGCTGAGGAACTAAAGCGCGATATCTTTCACGCCAGCTGTGAGGCAAACTGAAACAGGAAGTCGGCATCCGTGCAAACAACACGTTTTTCATAGATTTTTCGGACAGACGGCTTCTGGTGCACTTAAAGCATCAACAATCAATCCGACCCGCCCAGATAAAACGATTTGCGGGTTCGGAGGAAATCCAAACTGATTATCACAGTTTTAGATTTGAGGCACAATTTGGATTCAGTATCTTCCTAAAATGTTGTATGTATGTAAAATATGTCATTTAACAGCAGGTTTTGGGGGTTTTAACAGAGGTGCATTTGATGAATATTTAGTTCTGTGAGCTTAGTTGAACTGGCTTTGTTGTTAATTAAAGTAAATAAAACGACGACACAAAAACGCTGGACAGACGTGAAGCTTCAGTTCTCTGAAGACGCGACTCATCGTTTGTGTTTCGGGTGTCTGGACATCAAGTTTGAAGTAGAAGATGATTTTGTTTCTTTTACACATTAGAAGGGCGAACAACTTTTTTCACCAGAAATAACTGAAGCATCTGACCGAGATGGTTGATTATTTCTTTTCTTTGCGGCTTGATTTTCATAATACGAGACGTAGACTCACACATATAAATGTGTCACTGCACATCCTGTCTGCCTTCACACCCCTCCAGAAGAAGAAGTGAGACCTTTTTCGTTAAGCTACTCGCTCTCTTCTTCACCACCAGAAGAGCAACATTTGTTTTTAAGGGCTATTTTTTCTCTTTGGTTCTTCTGTCTGTTCGATGCCTGCGGTGTGTAACTAAAAATTGATGATTGACGATGATAACAGAGACTCATGGGAACCGGACAAAGCGCAATAGTTTCTAGCGTGTGTATTGGCCAAACCACAGCCTACAGACACATACACATATAACCACACGCACACACACACACGCTCATGCGGGCAGACAGAAGCAGCCGTAGACATCCACTAAACACTCTTTCATGCACTACGTTTGCAGTGACAACAGGTCGCCATTGTCCAATGATAAAAAGGAAGAAGAGAAGCCACAGAAATGCTTTACATGTACGTTTAGTTTGTTGTTTCTCTGCTGCACAGTTTGTCTTGCAGGGAAATGGGACAATTCCTTTTTCTATCTATAAAATATCCCATTCAGTACATTCCTTGGCCCTTAACACGTGAACCATATGAACACCTGGACTTATGTCTTCTTTGTTCTTTCAAAAATATATTTATTTGTTTTTGAAATTTGTTGATCCGTTAGTGATCAACAGGCCTTACGCAAATGTACCTTCAAAACAAAATCCAGTTAATTAGTTAAACCTCTAAGTCTGATACAATAAAAAACAACAGTTCTCCTATTAATACTCAAAAGATGATTAAGGATGATAAAACTTTCATTCATCACTTTGTCATATTTTGCTTTATCATGTTTTTTACGAACATATTTTCATATATTAGATCATTTTCTTATACATTATTATTCGCATTAACTTGATTTTCTTATGTTTTACATCACTATGAATTTACTGTTAACGACGACTGGTTATGCTCCGCCCATCCACGTCACGTGACTCTCGCGGCCTCAACCAAACGAGGCAAAGAGGGTGATGTCATTTTCTGTTCGCTCGATTGATGCCATAGATCTCACATGTGACTTGAGAATGCTATTTAATTGAAACGTACATTGAATTTATTGTAAAATACAATAACTTCTGTTAAACACAATTACATAAAAAATAAGCTTCATCAACGAGCTCCCCCCCTCCGCCTTTTCTCCTACATGGTTCCTTCCGTTCAAACCCTGGAAGCGGGAGCAAGGAGCTGCTGTGGCCGGTTCATGGTGTTGATTTTCCGGGACGAAGAAACGCCTCAGGTAGTCGTCCACCAACAAACCATCCCGAAGAGTGTTCTCTACCACCCTCAAAGAATAGAAGCACCGGTCAACAATATTAATCCACGTTTGAAATATGTTTAATTCGCTCTTGTTATGCAAGTGTAAGCATATTAGCTAGTGTTAGCATCAAAGATGGAGGGCGCAGAACGTCAGTTGCTCTTCGTTCATCGCGTTGTTTCGCCGCTGTGACCGTAGAGATGATCGTTTGTACCCCACAGGATGGATATGACCACGTGTTTGAAGTCTCTGATGCTGGCGATGCGGCAGTACAGAGACGGCAGGACGGCGCAGAACGCGACGCAGCTCCAGAAGCTGGTGAAGGTGAGCCCAGATGTTCCACAGTGACCCGTCTGAGCCCAGATGTTACACAGTGACCCTTCGTGATGACCCGTCTGAGCCCAGATGTTCCACAGTGACCCGTCTGAGCCCAGATGTTACACAGTGACCCGTCTGAGCCCAGATGTTACACAGTGATGACCCGTCTGAGCCCAGATGTTCTGATCAGAAAAACACAGATTTGGCCAAGTACCTGTCAAGTTACCTTGACAGCACTAAGGAGGTGGTAACGAGTTGATAAGCATAATAAACAGTATAAACCATCCGATGACCGTATATGATTCATGTTATATAGATAAACTAATTAACAGTCTATAATCTCCCCTAAATCTACTTTGCATGGAAAACGTCTGCTAGCTCGAGGGGAATAGAAATCGTCATGACAACAAGCACTGAGGTGATGTTGTGCACATTGCTAGGTTTTGTTGACGATGCTTGTGTGTGTGTGTGCGTTCTCGCAGGAGGTGTCGGGCCTTAAATGTGACCAGCTGCTGTCCTCGGGTCAGGTAATGCCCCGCGAGTGTGTGAGGGGCCTGGTGGAGCTGGCTGGAAACCCCGACACCAGCCCCACCCTGACGAGCTCCGTCATCTCCCTGCTGGCGCAACTCGGTACGCACTAGATACACGAGTCCTTTTGAAACGATTCCATGTGTGAGAAAGCCGAAGGAGAAGTGAGGGTTCGCTGAAGATGAACCGCCAGCTCTCTCTCCTTCAGCCTGTGATGACGACGGTCTGGAGATTCTCAACAGCAGGTACAACCTGACCAGCACGCTGGCGTCCGTGGTCCACGGCCGCCGCGCCTCGCCCGAGGAGCCCCTGGTGCTGCAGGTGAGTCCCCACCTTCACAACCAGTGAGTAAAAAGCTGTTGCTTTTGTAGAAAGACGTTTGAAGGAAATACATCGTGGGACAGTTGGTCGAGGTGTTTTAAAGACATGCCATTAAAAATGAAAAAACTATGAAGCCTATTTCCATAACTGTGGGCGGTGTTGTTGTGTTGGTGGAGTAGGTGGTGTTAAGTGAATGACCTTCAGGTTATTTCATGGTGTGACGTGTATTTGCCCATTATTGCTTCTATGTTCCTCTCCGGTCTAACGAGGCATTTGTCCCGTTTCTCTCAGGTCACATGTCCCACAGAAATGTCTCTCATGTTGTCTCGCGTGTGTCCTGCAGTGTTTGCAGCTGCTGCAGAAACTGACTTACAACACTCGCGTCTTGCAGTCTGCAAACTACATCCACGAGCTGGTGGCTTTCCTCATGACCAACATGTAAGCCCCGTCCCCGTCCCCCCCGTCCCCCCGCTACGATGGGATGAGGGAGCTGTCTGATTGACCTGGTGTCTCCCCTCGCAGACAGTCCCACAGCGATGACATCATCGTGCCGTGCCTCGGCCTCATGGTCAACCTGTGTCGAGACAACCGCTCGGTGCAGCGCCACGTCAAGTCTCTGGTGGGTCCCACCACGACACCTTTGACCCCCGTCAGCCTCAGACACGCAGCAGCGAGAGGCGAGGGAGGTTTTCTGTGGTGGGCGTGTCGTCAGATGAAGATGCATTAACGTGCGTGTTCTCCTGCAGGACAACGTGAAGACCTTCTACAGAACTCTGCTGGACTTCCTGGATCACAACAGCCTGACGGTGGTGGTGTTCACGCTGTCCGTCCTGGCCAGCCTCACGCTCAGTGAGAAGGTTGGGGAGAAGGTGGGGGGCACTTTATGTGATTATCTGCAGGACAAATCTTTATAGCAATGTTTGTGTCACAATTCATCTTGTTGCATCAATGACATTTTACAGACTGTCATTGTGTCACATCAGTTAAATGACATTGAGAGTTGATATATTTTTCATATGAAATGCAAAATGAGTATTTACCTTCAGGAAGATGCATTCAGCAAATTCCACTAAATTCCACTATTCCATTTTAGAGGTTCAAATATTCATAAACAAAACAGGCTCAGAAAACATGTAAATATGTTCTTTTAGTTTTGTTTTTAGTTTCTTAATATATCAAAAGTTTTCTGATAATCTTCACAGCTCAAACAACACACACACACACACACACACACTCTCTCATCTGTTCTTCTTCCTGCAGCTCTTTGACGCCACAAACATCATCCAGACCTTCCAGCTCGTGTTCAACATCATCGTCAACGGCGACGGCACGTTGACCCTGAAGTACTCCGTCGACCTTTTGGTCGACTTGTTGAAGAACGCCAAAATAGCAGAATATCTCACCAGGTGCGATACTCACACTCACACTCACACTGACTGAGTGTTGACCTGAACTAACACCCCCCCCACCCCCCTCCACAGGTACCAGCACTTCTCAGTCTGCGTGTCTAAAGTTTTGGGAGTTCTTCAATCAAAAGACCCGGACTCTGCAGCGAAGGTCCGCCTGTCACTCATTGCTCTAAGGCAACTTTCCCACCGCTGTTCCACTAAGCATCACGGGGGGGGGGGGGTCAAATGCTACGTGCAGAGTTGAAATGTTTTGGTGTGGTGCTCTGCAGAAACCACAAGCTTTTAGTGGTCCGAAGTGCATTCATCTGTTGGAGGACAGTAGAGCGCTGACAGGAAATTGGGGGGAGGGCGGCACGCAGGTGTTACCCTCCTTTTAAATGTCATGTTTTTAGGGCCAAAACTAATGTGAACTGCGTATTATCAACACAATAGATCAACTATTATTATTATTATTATTGATTATTATCAATTATAACAAAATGTAGATTAAAGCTCACTACAAGAAACTCCGATAAATCAAATAGATTCCTGCTAACGACAATAAGTAAAGAAATAAAGATGATAATGTAGAAGTTTAACATAAAGCATAAATAAAAACGAATGATGAAGCGCTGAAGGTTCTGAGTGAATTTGCTGTGAGCTCAGAAGTAAGAAGCTTTTCCTCACGTCCTCGTTCTTGCTCTGCATTTGGTCTGCAGGTGCTGGAGCTGCTGCTCGCCATGTGCGGCGTGGGGGGGCTGCGCCCCCTGCTGTGCGAGGTGGTTTTCAGACCGGCGGCGGCTCCCAAACTGGGTGCGCCGGGGCCCTCGCCCGGCCTCGCCCTGCTGCTGTGGCTGAGCTCGCCGGTGGAGGGCGCCGAGGGCTGCTCGCTGCAGGCGCTGCAGCTGCTGAACCAGCTGCTGGAGGTACGGGGAGGGGGGGGGCAGAGGAACAACTTCCT